AGATTCATTCCGACAACGAAACAGTTTGTGTTTCGGACGTCACGTGTCGCGTGTCACTTTTTCCGCACCAAAACAGGCTCCGAAGCAGTGCTCCGATGTAATTTTACTGCAGGGTTCGAAGCATGTTTTGAAGCTTTTGTTTCATACTACCATCACTAGTGCAGAGGTTTTCTGTAGCTGTGTCCAGCGCAGTGTTGCCAGGTGTACGATAATTATCGTATTTGTACGACAATGTTGCCCTCTGTACGATGTACAATCAATAATCCCAAAAAAGGCCAAATATACGATAATTTGACCATTCCGTGAATGTGTGGTTGTAATCAGTTGTCATCAACCTGTCGCAATTGTCTGTTAGAATTTTTTTGTGAACCCTGAAGGCATCTGTGTCAGTAAACAGATGCACGATTGGCTGGAAATTTGTGACCTTGACTCTGAACTATTGTTTTCTTCTTCTATCTCCTAATAATACTTCTAATATCCTGATGCATGCTCAATAATCCAGGTAGAAAAATCTAAAAAAAAGTTAAATCTGGTCCTCTGGACACGTTTCTAGATGTTTTGTTGTTGTTTTGCTTTATTTTGTTTTTTGAATGTCCAGAGGACCAGATTTAACTTTTTTAGAATACTTCAAATTATTTGAGGGAGTGGTGGTGCAGAGGTTAGAAGATGGGCCTGTGATCGGAAAGTCACAGGTTCGACTCCCGGTACCGTCAACATCAAAATGTGGGTGGAAAAGGTGGAACACCCACACCTCCCCCCACCCCCATTAAACCCCCTGAACCCCCACACCTCCCCCCACCCCCATTAAACCCCCTGAACCCCCACCATCTGCTCCCCAAACAGGTCTCTCTTGAAAATGAGTTCTCGTGGCTCAATGAGACTACCTGTATAAATAAAAGGTAAATGAAAAAAACAATAATAATGCTAACATTTCCCCGGTGTACATTAAATTGATATTTTTTTGAAATATGTTGAATTTATTTCATCTGAAATTCTTGTATAATGATTCCTATAATATTCCTATTTTTACTGTTGGGGCTTTTGATTAATCTGTATAAACTTGAACATACTTGTAAGTTATACTGTATATAATATATATATTCCTGCACTGTGTACGAATTAAAAATTAATCCTTTGTAGGTGGGTTTTCCCCATAAGTGTCAAATTTACTTTTGCAGCTGGTATTATCCATGGTGGTGCTGGTAACGGTACTGTTGGTTATGTTGCTTACTTGAACTTCTACCTTCTGACCGATCACCCACCTAAAACTTCTTGTTTCCCTCTTTCTTTTTACCAACATGTCTTTAAAAGTCTAATGTTGGATGATCCGAGTTATTTCCTTTTAAACTGAATCCAGAGATGTATTGATAGCTGTGTTCTTCTTAATTCATCTCCCCTCTTTAATGCTGTTCTGTCTGCATCCCATTCGTTTCTCGACAAACATGATATGTAAGACTTTTTTGCATTCATCAATAATTTTCTGTATGTGTAAATTCCATATTTTTTCTCATCTAACTATTCCTATAAAAAATCCTAATATTAATAAACATTTTATGATCTTAACCTTTTCTATTTCTTGAGTATACAATTTCAGGTTTTTTTTTTCTTCTGTAATTCTTTTCTGTGTAAATATCACTGACTTTGTTGTTCCCACTGAAAAAACTTTTTTGACCATAATAATTGCAAATTAAAGCTGCAAGCAGCATTGGAGGCCCTCGCAGCAAAGCACCGCTCCGGCCTTACGGCGACCATGGGAGCTCCAGCTACTCCACCCACTTGCTATCGCAAACACTCTCGTGCCAATCCTGTACGCATGCACCACAGGGTGCATTTCCTGAATCTTCGACATCGCCTTCCGTCCATGTCAGTACTTGTCCATCTGCAGGCCTTACAAGTAGGCGAAATCCGACCTTCCAGACAGTTGTTATTGTGATTTCCTGTTTTGTGGCGAATGTTTGACTAGCACTTCTTTTACGCTTTTCAACATGTCGTGTGGTAATCAACAGTTAGCGAACAAAGTTTCAGTCTAATATCTTACACAGGGTGAAGCTGGAAGAGTCATCCAATAATCGACAGTTTCTTCTCTGAGTGGGTGGTGCTTAAGTGATGTCATGAATCGACAGTATCAATGTGTCTACATGTGCTCACTGATGAAGCACAATAAATCTGGCGCATATCGGATGATGTGCCACTGAGATAAAACTGTTGGAATAATCTAGGGGGAGCAACGGAGTCTAATGTTAAAGAACATTACCAATGTGTATACAAGTACTCACTGATGACGCAACAAAAATCTGCTGCAGATCGGATGAAGTATCACTGAGATATAACTGTAGGAATAATGTAGGGGGCGCTGTGGAGGATATTGGCCACTTATCATGGACACCTGTTCAAGGGGTGGATAATGATCGATCATAGTGATTTTGGTGCACCTCGGCTCAAATCTTTGCAATTTAGAGCCAAATGTATGGCAATAGCATCACTTCTTAATTCGTCACGTCGCCATGCCCACATCCTCCAGCTAAAACTCTTTGTAATTTAAATCAAGTCAGACCAACTTGTTATATGTCTTCTAACACAGGATCATCCTCATTAGGTCAATGGTGTCAGAGAGGGAGCATTCCAAGTAAAAAAAGTGACTTCATGTTCTGAGGGGGCGGGGCTTTGATGACATCAAAATATGATCACAGAGGATCGTCGGGCATCCAACAGGGATGAGTCATGCCAAGTTTGGTGCATTTCGGTCTTTCAATGTGAAAGTTATAGCGTTTGGAAATTAATGGCGTGAAGCACAAATTTTAGGCCTGGCCATGCCCCTTTAACATCTACGAAAACGCAAGCTTTTGATAACTTTTACTCCCCAATGTTCTAAGGGCATATTAACCAAGTTCGAAGGCAATCCTTCAAAATCCCTAGGAGGAGTTCGTTAAAACTCGCAATTAGAAACGCCCAAAAATGACCCTTTGACCCAAAATGGCCGACTTCCTGTTGAGTTTGGACCAGGGCTCCAAGAGACTTTTTCATAGGTCCTGATAAGATACAGATGTTCGCCGAGTTTCAGAATTATCAGTCATAAAGTGGCTTGGGGCTGAGGTTTTAAAATATTCTAGGGGACGCTATTGGCCAATTATCATGGCTTCCTGTTCAAGGGGTGAATAATGATTGATCATACTGATTTTGGTGCACCTCGGCTTAAATCTGTGGAATTTAGAGCCAAACGTATGGCGACGGCGTTACGTCTTGCTTCGCCATGCCGCGCCGCCCACATGCTCCACCCAAAACTGTCAGTGTTGGAAAGCAAGTTACACCAACATGTCTTTGGTCACTGGACACACTATCATGCTGATCAGGTGACAGGGGTCAGATAGGGACCATTCAACGTAAAACTTTACACTTCCTGTTGTCAGGGGGCGTGGCTTAAGTGATGTCATGATTTGACCATTCAGTCTTGCAGGGGACCAAATGTGGATCAATCACTGAAGGTTTGATGTCTCAGACAGTTTTCTTGTAGGAGCTATTAGCGTTTCGTTTTTCATGGCGAGATGTCAAACTTTGAGTTCTGGCCCCGCCCCTTCAGCATGCTCCAAATCGAACCTTTTAGATAACTTTGCATCCCCCGTGCCTTTTGACCAAAATGGCCAAGTTTGAAACCGATTGAGCGAAATCTCTAGGAGTTTGTTCAAATGTGGAGGCTGTAAACCTCCAAAAAGGTGTGAAAATTGGGATGCCATTCCAAAATGGCTGCCTTCCTGTTTATGTACAACATTGGTGCCAGAGGGTTTTCTGTGCATCTTGGGGAATTGGACAAGTGTACCAAATTTCAACAAAGGTTAATGAGGAAGGTATTTTGAAAATTTCCAGGTGGCGATCTTGAGCCATTTCTGTTTCGATTTTCGCGACGCCTTTAAAATGCGTAATTTTTCAGCAGTCCTGATGCATCCGCCAAATTTGAGTTTTGGGGTATGTTAAGGCCCCCAAAAGGCCAATTCATTTGACGGAAAAATTGCTCGGGCCTAATGAACTGAGCGATTACAACAGGTCTTCGCAGCGCTTTGCTGCTCGGGCTTAACTACCATACCATACCAATTTATTTATAGAGCACTTAAAACAGCAACAAGGCCAACCAAAGTGCTGTACAAGAGAAAACAAACATGCACTATTACAAACTATTACAAATACATCTACATGCATATCGACATTACAATTTCTACATAGCTTTATATCATAAGTTGTTTTCTCCTCACCTAAACTTAAAGTCTCATCTTAAAAAAGTATGTTTTGTTTTTTTTACAAGTGATACTTATAACAGAAAAAAAAAACGAACCAGCTGACCACACGTGATATGCTATGACACTTTTGTTAACGTACTTCCGGTTTGTCTTAGCAACTTTGTTTTGAAGTTGGATTGTCCGAGGAGTCTTTGAACGCACCACCTCGTTTTCTTCCTGGACAGACGCCTCATGAGTAGGAGCGTTTGTGTGCACTTTTCGGCGTTGCGACGCAAATCCCGTTTAGGTAAGAAGGACTTTGCCGAGCAGGGTGGGGTCTTCCACGCGTGGAGAAGCTCTGAGTGTCTATGGCAGCAGGTTTACTAAAACAACGATGCCTCAACAGCAGATTCAGACACCCCTGTCGTTTTCGTTGATCACTGTCGCGCTGTCCATTCTTGCCATATTCATCTTTTTGAACGATAAAGGTAACGTGCAGGAAATCTTTTGATGTTTTATTTTATTGTATCACCATTGTGTTGAAGCTAATAAGGTTAGCTATTCTTTTAGTGGAGTTTAGAACCCACGGGCTTTAGGACCCAGCAGACACCGAATCGACGGGGTGGGCGGTAAATATTACCCTGAGAGGACTGATCAGAGGTCAGTTTGAAAAATTTTCAATGAAAGCAAAGGTTGCGCTAACAGCACCGGAAGCTGACCCCTATTCAGTTTGTCCGGAAAATAATAAGCTACGCATTTTTATTACGACTTAAGAGGATAAACAAAGACTGCGAAGGGTCTCGGAGTTTGCTTATACGCTTTTGTTATGAACCTAAAGTTTAAATGTGTAGCCACTTCAAGGACTTCCTGTAAGCTAGCATCAAAATGGCCACTGGACGTTGTTTGGGTTAGCTGCGTCCCGCTGCTTTGATGCAGCTCTGGATCAGACCTTCATTATCCTGCAGTGTCAACACTCGGCATCTTACGCTGGGGGATTAAACCGGTCCGGTTCAGCTAGAATGCTAGCCAACACGACGCGGGGCTTCTTGTGGTCGGACGTGGAGACGCGGACCTTGTTGAACATCTGGGGGGAGCAGGACATCCAGACGGCGCTGGATGGAAACTTCCGAAACAGCTTCGTGTACCGCGACGTCTCCCGCAGGCTGGGGGCCATGGGCTTTGAAAGGACGCCGGAGCAGTGCAGGGTTCGGATCAAAAGCCTCAAGAGGCAGTACCTGCTGGCCAAGGAGGGTAACCTGCGGAACAACGGGCAGTATCACAAGATCTGCAAGTTCTATGACATCATGGAGAGGATTTTGAGCAACCCGGCTCTCGACGCGCATGATTTGATGATGGAGAGCGGGGCTGGAGGAGAGGAGGCCGGGGACGGCCTGGAGGAGGATGGAGAGGATGCTCAGGATGTAGAGAGCACTGGAGAGTGTCCCTATCCTTCTGAGACGGAAGTCAAGCTGGAATACCCGACTGTCCCCATTCCCATCCCACTTAAAGTCACAGTTGGCAACAACAGTAAGTGCTTTCTTTCTTTTGTACATTGTTTTGCTGTTGGAGTCTTTCAATGCTTTGAAAAGTTTCTAAAGTACCATCTTTCCTTTAGGCACTTCATCAAGACCGCACAACAGCAGCCAGCCAGCTGGTCATCTGCCAGCGAGAACACCAAAACGACCCAGGAAGCGACGTTCCAACTTCCCCATGGAGAAACTGATGGAGCAGTTCCTGGAGCAGAGCGCCCAAGCCGAGGAGAACTTCTTCCGCGTGGAGGAGCAGCGCCTGCAGATGGAAGACCACCGTCGGGAGACTGAGCACGCCCGAGAGCTGCACATGCTCCAGATGCTCGCCCAGATGTTCTCGAGCATCTCCTCGGCCAGACCCAGCTCCGCTGCCAAGGCGGCCGATCCTCCAGCCCGCGCGCCGGTCATTACCGGCAGCTCCCCGTTGCACACGCGTGGACGCCCGTCGTCCCAGAAAGACTGTCTGAGTGCAGATTCATTAGGTATCAGCTCGGGTGTCGTGACGGTGGAACGTGTAAAGAGAAAGTTAAAACCATTTGTCTGCAGTGTCATCCTCAGCCAACATTTGACTCTTTGCTTATTAAAAAAATCAATTTACGCCAATGTGGGCAAATTCTTTTTTTGTGTATGGTTTAAAACTTTCATATTGTTTGTTTCCTCAGCGTTCGAGCGTTACTATAATTTGGGCTCTTCATCACACAGAGCCATGGACAATGTCATCTTCTCACTGGTAAAGAGCATCGTTCCTCCACTGACATCCAAGAAGCACAAAGGACAAGACGGGCGTATCGGGATCGTTGGAGGTTGCCAAGAGTATGTTGAATTCCACAATAATAAATGACGTATGAAAATATTTCCCTAATTTTTTTTATTTCTCTCCATAAAGCTACACTGGAGCGCCATACTTTGCTGCGATTTCTGCTCTCAAAGTGGTGAGCTACAATTCTGAACTTTAATGGTTTACGGATGAGTTTTAGGTCAAAGACAACACCTTTTTTTCATTTTCAGGGGGCTGACTTGTCTCATGTGTTTTGCACTAAAGATGCTGCGACTGTAATAAAATCGTACAGCCCTGAGCTTATAGTGCACCCTGTTCTGTAAGTACTCACCCATATCAATTACGTATTTAATATCATAACATGACATGAAATATTGTATTTTTCAGTTGTTGAAGGCGTTCTTATCATTGGGACTTGGGCTGGGCGATATGGACCAGAATTAATATCTTGATATTTTAAGAAGAATGGCGATATACGATATATATCTCGATATTTTTTCGTTCCATAAAATAAGAACAAAAATATATTTCATAGTCAAAGCTTAGTTCCAAATCCCACTTGTCACACACGCACCTTTATTAACAAACAGTGTGTATACTGTACAAAATAAATGTCTCAAAAATCAAAGTTTTTTTTTCATGCATAACAAAACCAAAAACACAGCTGTGCACTTTAAATTTAAACAGAAAACATACAGAGCAAATGAAAATGAGAGCAAGTGAAAGGGTGACTTGCTCTGTAAAACGTCTGATTCTAATGAAGTATATTCATTCAACCTTTTATTAACATTTATTAACAAAGCTGTTAGAAAGCCCACTTTTTTTGTGTAGTTGGCTTGTTTACAGAACTTGGTTCTGTTTGGTTATGGCTTGTTTCTTTTTTAATTTAATAGTTCCTATGCTCTGGAATGCTCCGTGGCTCTTCCAACACATTGCTCTGTGTAAAGTGCAGAGCTCAGCTGGAGGTGTTTTTTGTCTGTCTCTTGACATGGACGGAGCCTTGTTGTTCAAGCTTGTTTGTGCTTTACTGGTTTACTGCTGTGTCTAAATACCAGAAGAAACACAGCAAGTAAATAATCCTAAACTTGATATTTGTCTCCACATTTTTAATGAGAAGACAATTTCATATCTTGCCACTGTAAAACAGTTAGTTTCCTGGAGAAGACCAAACCATTGCTTTGTAGCACCTATCCAGTTGTTTTAACACCTATCAGGAATTTACAGTGCACTCATGCTGTGAGTCAACAAAAATATCTGCATATCTAAGTTCAGCTTTGTAATTCAAATAGTCTTCAGGTGCTGCAAGCAGCAGGGGAGGAGGGGCGGGTTTGTATTCAGAGTCAGAGACTCTTTATTGTCATTCGCACCTCATGTGGTACATGTGGTGGAGCGAAATTATGTACACAGAGTCCCAGTTACATCCAACAATAAAATGTATAAGAAAAACAGTAATAACATCTAAGATATGAACTAAGAAAAACATCAACTACATATACACTAAGCACTCATAACATAAAACATTGAACATCAGCACAAACATGAACATGAGTCTGTGAGCGGATATGCACGCATGAACACATCAACATTGAAACAGATCAGCAGCAACATGAAACAGATCAGCAGTAACATGAAACAGATCAGCAGCAACATGATATGGTTTTTCACAGTGATTATTCTAGTTAGAGATTCATGAGTCTAACAGCCTCAGGGTAGAAGCTGTTCCTCAGCTGGTTCTACACTTAATGCTCCTTAACCTCCTTCCTGAGGGGAGTGGGGCAAAAAGTGTGTGTGCTGGGTGAGTGGGGTCCTTCATGATGCAGGTGGCCCTCTTCCTGCATCTGGAGGTGTAGATATCTGTGATGGTGGGGAGGCTGATTCCAACAGATTTCTGTGCAGCCTTCACCACTCTCTGCAAAGCTTTTCTTTCTGCAGCTGTGCAGCCTCCATGCCACACGTTGATGCTGGAGCACAGGATGCTCTCCACTGCACACCTGTAAAAGGAGGTGAGGACTGAGCTTCCCAGTCCAGCTCGTCTCGGCCGCCTGAGGAAGTAGAGTCTCTGATGAGCTTTCTTGATCAGGCTGGTGGTGTTGTTGCTCCAGCTGAGGTTGTCATTCATGTGTACACCCAAGTACTTGTAGCTGGAGACCACTTCCACCGCGGATCCTCTTATGTTCAGGGGGGTGTAGATGTTTTTGTTCCTTCTGAAGTCCACAATCATCTCCTTTGTCTTCTTCACATTGATGTGAAGGTTATTCTCTTTGCACCAGCTCTCCAGGTGTTCCACCTCTTGCCTGTAGCTGGACTCATCATTGTTTGTGATGCATCCCACCACCGCTGTATCATCTGCAAACTTTACAATGTGACAGCCTGGATGGGTAGCTGCACAATCATACGTGAGCAGAGTAAACAGGAGGGGGCTCAACACACATCCCTGAGGAGAGCCAGTGCTGAGGGTTATGGTGGAGGAGGAGAGGTTGTGGATCCTCACTAACTGTGGTCTGTTTGTTAAAAAGTCTAGTACCCAGTTGCAAATGGAGTGGCTTAGTCCTAGTGTAGATAGTTTGTCCATCAGGGTTTGGGGGATCATGGTGTTGAAGGCGGATGTGAAGTCCACAAAGACCATACGGACGTAAGAGTTTTTCTGCTCCAGGTGGTTGAGCACAGTGTGGGCCACAGAGGAGATGGCATCCTCTGTTGATCAGTTCTCACAGTATGCGTACTGATGAGGGTCCTCGTTGATGTTGATGGTTGTTTTGATGCGAGTCATGACCAGTTTTTCGAAGCATTTAGCGACTATCGGGGTGAGGGCCACTGGCCGATAGTCATTCAGACCAGTCACTGTAGAGCTTTTTGGGACTAGGATGATGGTGGCAGTCTTCAGGCAGGTGGGAACTGTCTCCAGGGTAAGTGAGGTGTTAAACATGTCTGCCAGCACCTCACAGAGCTGATCAGCACATTCCTTCAACACTTTTCTGGGGATGTTGTCTGGGCTCATTGTCTTATTCAGTGAGGGAAAAGAAGGGGTGGTATAAAGATGCGGACTGGTGGGAAAAACTGGCAGATTTATAACTAGGTAAAGTATAAGACTATATCGTTTTATATCGATGCAGTCCCCCCTCGACTACTAAAGGAGGTTTTTCCTACTCTAGATTCATCCATTCTTACTATAGTAAACAGTAGTTTATTCACTGGTGTGGTGCCAAAAACCTTTAAACATGCTGCTGTCCAGCCTCTTCTGAAAAAAACAAACCTTGACCCCTCAGTCGTTTCCAACTTCCGGCCTGTCTCCAAACTCCCATTTGTTTCTAAAATACTGGAGCAAATAGTTGAGTCCCAGTTGAAGTGCTTCCTGGAAGGTCACACCATCTTAGAGCTATTCCAATCTGGCTTTAAACTTCTCCACAGCACTGAAACTGCCCTATTGAAGGTTTTTAATGACATCTTCAGATCCACAGATACTGGTGATTCTGTGCTGCTTGTCCTGTTGGACCTCACAGCCGCCTTTGACACCATCGACCATGAGATCCTCATTGCTAGGTTGGAGCAGTGGGTGGGCATCACAGGATCAGCCCTCAATTGGTTCAGATCTTACCTCGCTGACAGATCCTTTTGTGTCTCCATCAAGGATTTTAGTTCTGCAGCGACAGAGCTTAAATGGGGGGTTCCACAGGGGTCCATCCTGGGTCCCCTCCTATTCTCTTTATACCTGCTGCCACTTGGTGCTATTTTCCGAAAACACAACATGCCCTTTCACTTCTATGCCGACGACTGTCAAATTTACTTCCCCCTAAGACACAATGGTACATGCTCTATTCAACAGCTGCTCAACTGCCTGGCTGACATCAGGGACTGGATGGCTTTAAACTTCTTAAGTTTCAATGAGAAGAAGTCTGAAGTCATGTTGTTCCCTCCCAACGACACGATCACAAACCACTGCATCGACCGCTCCGCTCTAACCCTGTCAGAAAAACAAAGAGTCACTAATCTGGGCGTGATAATGGACCCTTCCCTGAAACTTAACAATCATGTAAACATGATTGTTAAATCATGCTTCTTCCAACTGAGGCGGCTCTAAACTGAAGCCCATATTGTCCAAAATAACCTGGAGACAGTTAATACATGCATTCATTACATCTAGGCTTGATTACTGCAATTCGCTCCTGTTTGGTATCAGTCAGACCTCCATTGCACGACTACAACTGGTCCAGAATGCAGCAGCCCGATTTTTAACCAGTACAGGCAAAAGAGAGCACATTACACCAGTTTTGGCCTCACTGCACTGGTTACCGGTTCACTTTTGAATCCAGTTCAAAATACTCATGTATGTCTACAAATCACTGAACAGTTTCGCCCCCCAATCTCTGATCTGCTACAACCATATGTCCCACCACGTTCCCTGAGGTCAGCGGACCAGTTGCTCCTCACAGTTCTAGGAACTCGTCTTAAGCGCAGAGGTGACAGGGCCTTCTCTGTAGCAGGACCAAGACTTTGGAACGAGTTACCTCTGCTTGTCAGACAGGCCCCCTCCCTCTTGGTTTTCAAGTCCCGTTTAAAAACCCACTACTATTCAGTAGCTTTCAACACCATCTGTGTTTTGAACCTGTACACTCCACACTGGTTTGTCGTCATTATCTGCATCGTTTTTATGTCTATATTCTGATTTACTTCATTTTGTATATTGCTTTGTGTGTTGTCTGTTGTTCTGTCTGTACAGCACTTTGATTGGCCTTGTAGCCGTTTTAAGTGCTCTATAAATAAAATGGTATGGTATATCGATATAATCTCATTTTATATTGTGAATTCAATTATATCGATTAAAAAATATATATATATATATCGATATATCGCAAAGCCCTAATTGGGACATTTTTTTTGTTTGTTTTCTTTTTACTAAAATATGTAGACATGTTTTAGTTTACATTTTTCCAAACCTATCTAATGTGTGTCACCTTGTGTGTGTATAAAGGGACAGTCTGAATGCAGTGGAAGAAATCGAAAAGTGGCTCCCACGAATTCACAGCCTTGTAGTGGGACCTGGTCTAGGCAGAGAAGAATCTTTACTGAAAACAGCCAAGGCATGTGAAAAATACTTTTTACTCTTTTTACTCAACAGAGACTGTTGAGCTAGCTACTAGTGTACAGCATATAGCCAATAAACTACTTTAACAGACTCTGCCTCTTCTGGCGCCTGAGACATATTTTCCCACGTGTGCTGCTCACACATTGTTTTGAGGAGGCAGAGTTTTAGTAGAAGAATGAGTACATCACTAATTAGTGTTTTAGATAAAAATATTGATAATACTTTCTCTTTTTCAGGAAGTGATCGAGAGGTCTAAAGCAAGAGATATTCCTATAGTTATTGACGCGGTAAGTGTTGATTAAAATCAAGTTGAAGCTGTTGAACCTGTGAGCTTCTTTGTGCAGTCATACAGATGTTGGTTATTTTCAACAGGATGGATTATGGCTCGTAACGCAACAACCATCTATCATCCAGGGGTACCAGAAAGGTATCCTCACACCTAACTTCATGGAGTTCACTCGACTGTTTGAGGCACTGGTGGGTCTCTTTTGGCAGCGTTCTGGTGGTTTTTAATGTGATTGTGTGAATGTTTATGAAGCGTTCACACAATTGTGATCCTTTTTTCATTCCGTACATTTTTCAGCATCATTCTCATTCCACAATTTTTGTGCTATTTCAACAAATCCTAATTCAAAATGTTCAACTCTTTCAGGTGGTGCAACTTCAGCTTTTTGAAATCTTTAGTCTTTTCTGCCATTTTTCCCCACAGAGGAAATGAATTGAGCTCATTTTACATCCTTCAAATCTTTAGATCTGTTTACGACATTTTACTGCTACTTTCACATTTTGTTCTGGTTCAGCTTCTTTGTGCAAATCTCAACTTTTTTGTCAGCTACTTTCAGCTGTTTTGTACTCCTTTCAGATTTCTTCTGCTAACTACAACATTTTTGTGTTTCTAACTTCTTTCTGCTAATTTCAGCTTGTTGTGCTCCTTTCAGCTTGTTTCTGCAAGTTTCAGCTTATTCTGCTATTTCAACGACTATTTTGCTGTTTTAATGCTAATTTTAGCTTTTTTGGCTAATTCCACATTTTTGCACTCATTTAAACTTTTTGCATCTTAATTCAGTGAAAATGTGCTGCTCTTTGCACTTCCTTTTGGTAATTTAAGCATCTTTTTAGAAAATTTTAGCTGCTTTTATTATATACTGGTCTGTGTGTGTATGATATGATATATAAATATATATATATTTATATATATATATATTTATTTATATATATATATATATATATATATATATATATTTATATTTATATATATATATAATTTTTTTTGTTTGTTGCTAATTTCAGCTTTTTTCAGATAATATCCACTTTCAAGCGCTTATTTTGTCTTCCTTCTAATTGGGTAACCATGTGTTTTTTTTTTTCTATCTTCTGCTAATTTAAGCTTGTTCTGCATTGTAGCATTTTTCAGCTGTTTACAGTTGTTTTTGGTCATTTCTGCTACTTTGCACCTCCATCCATCCATCCATCCATTATCTTTACCCGCTTATTCCATTTTGGGTCACGGGGGTCGCTGGTGCCCATGTCCAGCAATCACTGTGCGAGGGGCGGGGTACACCCTGGACGGGTCGCAAGTCCTTCACAGGGCCACATAGAGACAAACAACCATTCACTCTCTCATTCACACCTAGGGACAATTTAGAGTTACCAATTAGTCTAACATGCATGTTTTTGGTCTGTGGGAGGAAACCGGAGCACCCGGAGAAAACCCACGCATGCACGGAGAGAACATGCAAACTCTGCCCAGAAGGTCCCTGGACCGGGGTTTGAACCAAGGACCTGCTCGCTGAGAGGCAGCAGCTCTACCAGTTGCGCCACCGTGCTGCCCCTACTTATCTGTTTTATTGCTAAATTTAGCTTTTCAACTAATTTCACCTTTTTTTTTCCAGCTCATTTCAGCTTTTTCCACTTCCTCCTGGTAGTTTAAGCTTCGTTCTGCCTTTTCAGCTACTTGTAGTTCCCAAGTTGCTAATTTTTGTGATAAGTTCTGCTTGTTTAAATCTAATTTAACAAATATGTGTTCTTTCTGCTGTCTTCTGCCAACTTGGGCTTGTTCTTCAATTTCAGCTACATTTCAGCAAGTTCTTCAGCAACAAGCATTCACACTGCATTTTTGCAGGAAAGGCAATTTCTCTAGTTATTTTATGCTAATGTGTGTTTTCATGCTGTTGTTTTCAGCACCATGAACCCATGAACAGCAGTGATCGTGCACGCAGCGTCATGCAGCTCAGCGGAGCTATGGGCAACCTCACTCTGGTGCTAAAGGGGGAGCAGGACCTCATATCGGATGGCAGCAGGGGTTGGTATCAAACACAACTTCAGGCGTGTTTTTATTTCCCAGCTGGTTATTTTCAGTGTTATAAATAATTTATTTAGTCCAGGCAGTGTCATTTTTGTGACCTTGTAATGTGATTCTGTTTTTAGTGTACTCGTGTAGTGTTGAAGGCAGTGGGAGAAGGTGTGGTGGACAGGGTGACCTCCTGTCTGGATCTTTGGGAGTCCTTGCACACTGGGCTCATTCTGCTTCAGCAGCAGGCATGATCAAAAGGTGAGAGAGCCTTGACTTTAGAGATTAATTTTTTTTAGGACAAGTAAATATAGTTAAAGTAGCATTCCTCGAAGGAAGGCATATTGATCCCTGCCTTACATGCCACAGCTTTCAGTAAACATCCTGTATGAGCTGTTAACGCTTAGAGCACAAGTTAGTGATGACTCTCAACTACTACCACACCAATTCTTAGCTCAAGCTCTAAAAAACTGACTGAGTAATAGTCATTTCTGTGTTTTCTAAAGCCAGTTGGTTGTGGTTGCCATCTTGATTTGGGTTGACTTCAAAAGGTACTCAGTTGTAGGAGGTCATCCAGTGATCACTTCCTGGGAGTTTCATTCAAATCCATCCAGTGGTTTATGAAATGTTTTGCTAACAGACACACACATAATCAGGCGATTAAATGACTTGCTTTCATGAAGTAATTGCAACGATGTGATTGGTCTTAATGAAAAAGCTAAATTAAAAGTAGAAGATCGTTTTTATTTAATAACTGGAAGCTTTATGTTTTTCTAATACCTAACTTTTACCTTCTTTCAGTATGAATCCATCAGTGGTCGCAGCTTTCGGTGCCTGTTCTCTTACCAGACAGTGCAACAGTCAAGCGTTTCAGCGACGTGGCAGGTCCACCACCACCTCAGACATGATCCATGAGATCGGCCCGGCTTTCAGGAAGCTGTTTGAAACCTGAAACTCTACCTGCTTGTATAAAGCTATATTACAGTAACTGTTTAATGTGTTCTTAACATGCTGAATAAAGGTCGGAGTGTGGACCATCTGGTCAAAAAAGCACTTTGAATCTGGTAAACAACAATATGCACTTTGTTTATTTTTAATTCTATTAAATAAAGCATAAGTTCACTAACGGGTCTGGATTGATAAAACAAAGTTAGTCAATGTAAACTTATCTGAATTTTTAGTAAATCTAGTAAATCTAGTCTTGACAGGAAGTGCATGTTGGCAATTACCACAAGGTGGCGATGTTGTCTGTCAAACGAGTATTTCAGCAGAAAAATGCATTCATTCATTCAACCTTTATACAAGCAGCAGATGTCTGACTGACCGCAAACACACACGTATATTACTAAAGTGCTTGTTCATTTTAAAGGGGGTCTTTCTGCCATTAACTGGCTCGTTTCCGTGTTTTCTGGGAAAGTTTATTACGATAATCAGCGGAGAGTATGAAGCTTGGATTGCCGCGCTGAAGTTCAGCGCATGCGCACTGCTGTCGCGTAGAAGCTTCGGAAGCTTGTGAGCTAAAGGGTCACAAGCAGCGACGGGAGTGAGCGACAGTTTAATAAAGAAAAGAGATCTATATTCAGAGGTAAGATCTTGTGCCTACAGCTCATATACGAGATACCAGAGATGCCATTTCCCCCTGTTTGTGCCACTTTTCATTTAGTCGCACCGTTAAGCTAGCAAGCTATCTTAGCTAACAGCGATCATGAGAAAAGACCGTTAAAGGGACTGAATTCTGGTTTGTTTTTCGTTTGTTTGCGTAACGTTAGGTTGTATTTTAAAAGGCTCTGTTTATTTACGGAATAAAATTAGTGGGGCAGTGTTCAGTGTCGGCGTAACTGAACGTTTCTCTGTGTTGTTGTATGTATCAAAATGACAAGCTGTGTTGCAGCGGGCTAACGAGCTAAATAAAACAATGTAACTGGGGGCATTGTAAAGATAAGAAGCGTATCTAAAAGACATTTGACGAGAATGCAAAAGTAGAATACGTTAACGTAAGAGTTAGTATTTTAATTTAAGACCACTCGGCTTCGTTGTAGCCTATAATTTTATGCTTTTTGTCAACTTGCTTTGTTTAAATGTCAACCACACATCGAGCGAGGCTTTAGCTCTTAATGTAGCTGCATCGCTGCAGTCTCTCCAGTAATGCAGGGAAACTAAACGTTTTGTCCATTGTTGTCTACATATTACATGTATTCAACTAATATTAATTATTCATGTACCCAAATTATTTTATTTACTTCTCCTACTCCGCTCCTGTTTCCTGGAATATCTTTCAAAAAGATCTGATTCTACATCTCCTTACAAGCTAGCTGTTTTTTTTGTTACATTTTTTCAACACCATTTTATTTTCACTTGTTCTCAGTTTGTATGCATCCTTTAAGGTTGTCTATTGTCTTTGTTGTCCATGTTGTCATCACTCTTTGTTCAAATCAGGTCTCTCTTGTAAAAATGAGTCCTCGAGGCTCAGTGGGATTAACCTGTAGAAATAAAGTTTGAATGAATTTAGACATTTATACCACGAGTTAATCATTACCATGGCTGATACAATTTAATTCCATTCAAAACTACTTTGTTCACCCAAAAGGGAAATTAAATGTAACTCATCATTCTGGTTTCATTAAAGAGTTGCTACAAGAGCAGTATGGCTTTACAGCAGCAGTGAAAATGTTTTTATTAATTCTGTGTTTGCAGCTGTGCCTCAAGTAGCAATGTTGAACCCCACCAACGGTGACCCCGGGCACGTAGTTGTGAATTATGTGGAGGAGTATCTGGATCTGGTGGAGTCTCTGCCTTTCGACTTACAGAGGAGTGTATCCCTCATGAGGGAGATTGATGCCAGATATCAAGGTACAGAAACTTACCATTACATTACTGTTGTGCCACGATCAAATACTGTATTCTTAATTTGGCCTTAATGTGTTAATTTTAAATTATTATTTTCATGAATGTTTTTGTTAACTTATTGTTTTTATATATGAATGTTTCTGTTCAGTGTCCTGAGATGACTTCTGTTGTGACTTGGCTCTATATAAATAAACTGAATTGAAATTGAATTGAATTATTTATATATTCAACTAAAAGTTGTTGTTTGTGGCACGTGAAAACTCCTAATTACTTATTACTTACTAATGATTATTGCATTCTTCTCCTAAGGATGTTGTCATTATATTACCGGCGCATTGCATTCAGGGAAGATGATGTATCAAGTTCAAGTCAATTTTACTGTCATTCGCATCACCTGTGGTACACGAGGTGGAACGAAATTATGTACACAGGGTCCCAGTTACACCCAAAAATAGCTAAAATATAAAGTGTAAAAAGAAGCAGTATATAAGGATCTAATATATACGCTAAACGAACGCCAAACAATATGCTAAAAGATCTAAGATATACGCTAAACCATGGCTATTGAACTAAATTGCTGAGGGGGCCACAGTTACTGAAAGCCAAGCGCTCAGGGGGCGGACATCCAGCAGTAATTTTCATTAAGTATGTTTGTTTTATGGTTTAAAATCTAGTTTTATTTAAAAATGAACCCATTGGTGGGCCGAACTGAGTTCATCCGTGGGCCTGATTTGGCCCCTGGGCCACCAGTTGAACAGCCCTGCGCTAAACACTGATAATGTAAAAGGAATCGGCATTAACAGTAGCAGCCCGAACATGTATGTGGATTGTAGTGGAGACTAAAATACAAGGATTCGAGGCTAAAAAGTTATAACGTGACAATAAAGTTATATTTTGTGTTAGTTCTTATGCACAATATATGGGTTGAAAAACAATCAAACATGATAACTTGTAATGTTTAATTTATTAGCTCTAGAGCTAGCACCCCATATGTTAGCTCCAGAGCAAACGCTGTTCGTTCTGGAGCTAAACTTTATTTATTTACAGTATATATAAATAAATTAGCTCTGAAGCAAATGCCATATATATTAGCCATATATATTAGCTATGGATTGAACTCTATTAGTTTTTTAGCTAATGCTATATAAATTAGTTCTGGAGCTAACAATAAACCGTATATTAGCTTCAGAGCTAATGCTATTAGCTTTGAGCTAACACAAAAGTTGAGTCACAGCTACATTCTCCTCTTGTCAACGCGCTCCTGTTCAAATTAAAGTGTTCAACACCAGATAATGTCTAAAATTTATAGTCAAGCTGAGTTGAGCTTGCTCTGGAACAACATGTCTACATCATTTACCCAGAATGCATCACAGCATTAAAAATGGCACTGTCTCTCATTAAGGTAAAAAAAAAAAAAATTTAAAATCCAAACAGCTGACGGTATTTTATGGTCTTTTTTTTTTTACAGCTGAAGTAATTGTTTATCATTAAGGTCAATGTTTCCAGCTAGTCGGAGATCCCTTTTAATTCACTACAGCTCAAGACAATAACTACAACTTTTACAAGGAACAGTGGTGAAAGTGGACATTTTATTGTGGAAATGTCAGATTTAGTTATTTTAATTGACTTTTTTTGTGCAGATGTTCTCAAAGAGCTTGATGACGTGTATGAACGATATCGCCGGGAGTCTGACGTACTTCAGAGGCGCAAGCTTCAGTTATCCATTCAGAGGGCACTGATCCATAGTCAGGAGCTGGGAGATGAGAAAATCCAGATCGCTGGTCAAATGGTACGTTGGAACACGACAAAGCTTTTGTCCAACTGATGAAGATAAGAGCTGTGCTTTTAAAATATGTAACACGTTCAGTTAAACTGCAGCGTTTTTACACAAGCTCATCAAAAAGTTGTGCATACAAACAACTGAACTTGAACACGCTGAAGACGGTTTCTTTACATTTATTTAACAAAGTTGCAAGCTTTAAAACAAAAACACTGTACGCTTTGCTACAGGTGGAGTTGGTCGAGAACCACACACGACAAATAGACTGGCATTCAGAACTACTCCTCTCCTCTCAAGAAGCCCCAGAAAGTCATGTTACCACGACGACGTCTCTGACAACCGCTGCAGTGTCCTTGATGTCCTCTTCATCAGCTGCCGTCACCCCGGGGAAGTCGGGCCACCACGACAAGAAACGAGACGAGGTCACTCCGGGTTCAGCCGGAACAGACAAAGCCGGAGGGAAGCGTTCAAGACGACAGAAAAACGGGGAAAATCGCGAATGCTATGGAGGTCTGGATCATGCGGAGGAAGTAGGAGCATCTCGGGAAAAGAGAGCCAAAACGTCTTCTAAGAAGAAGAAACGGTCTAAAGGAAAGTCAGAGAGGGAAGTGTCTCCTCCCGAGCTGCCCATCGATCCAGACGAGCCCACATACTGCCTGTGTGAGCAGGTGTCTTACGGCGAGATGATCGGCTGCGATAACGACGAATGCCCCATCGAGTGGTTCCACTTCTCCTGTGTCGGGCTCAATCATAAGCCCAAAGGCAAGTGGTACTGCCCCAAGTGTCGAGGCGAGAATGAAAAGACCATAGACAAGGCCCTGGAGAGGGCCAAGAAGGAGAGGGCCTACAACAGGTAGCTCGGCCTGGCTCAGTGGACGAGTTAAAAATAAAAATGCAACTTTGTATTTCATTTAAAATATTGCTACGGTGTATTCTACAGAGGGATCTTGTATAGTTTTTATAAAGGCTGCAGAACTGAGACATCTCCATGTGGTTTAGAAGGATTCCCCAGTAAAAACTGGACAATCTGCATGTTTTTAGAGCTCTTCTGCACTTAGCTTCCCTCTGTTTCGTCATGCATGCAGTGTCTAGTGTTTCTGTTCAACAATAAATTATTTTTAGTGGTCAGCACGTGCGTGGTTAGAGAACTTTTTAATTTGCAGCCTCATATTGACAAACTGTCCCTTCAAGGCTGCAGTTGAGCTTATTTCCCACCACCACTGTGGGCTTTGTAGGAATTCAGTTTAAAGGAAACTTACAAAAAAGTGATTATTGAAGTTCTTACTGTGCCTGCAGTCTCAACTAGCTGGGAGGAGGTCCTAAACTGTGATGGAAACTGATACTGGGGGGTGGGAGGAAAATGGATCACTTTCATGCTTAGTGTTCAACAATCCTTGAACATTTTAGAAATTTTAAAATTATTAAAACTGATGAGACTTGGTAAGTTTGAATTGGGAACATCTGCAGCACGTCAGCCAGATTACAATGTGGGGGACGACATGTTTCCATTTTTAATGTGAGCTATTTAGTGTTAATAATAACAAAAGACATTCTCACCAGAGGTTGATTTTGTTTATTTACAAGAACTGGAAAAAGTTACGAGGGACAACCAGTGCAAATTCTGTACATAATTTCAGTTGCAGCATCATTTAGCTATATACACGAGAACTCAAACAGGATTGTGAAAACAACGTCATGCACGTAACAGTTCACAACACAGCAAAGGACACGGTGTCCATGTGTGATTTAGCTGTAATGCTGGGGCTGCTCATTATTCCACTGCGTTGTGAGAAATTGACACATGATCAGGCGTACGACAAAACAGGAGCCGTGACTCAGCTGACGCACCCTTGTGAACAACAAACAGAATGGGTCATGGGAAGTTTCTACAGCAAATGAGAACCAGATTCTTTTCTTTTGTGTAATAGTCTTAGTCCATACTGGCAAAACACCAAGGCAATATTCACACATTTCCCCTGACTAGAAAAGATGTGTAGAAGGGAATTTTTTTTTTTTAAAAAGGGGGGGGAACTGAAGTTGAAGGTAAAGTGCATAAAAGCTTAAAATTAAAAACGGGGAACATTTTTTAAAATTAAGAGTTACTCCACTAAAACTTGCAGCACACACAGCTTCATGTAGTGAGCAGCTGTCAGGTCAACTGTCCCTCCAGCTTTGTTCAACTATAGCAGACACACGCTTCTCGTACTCCCGTTTGTTCTCCTGGTACAGCTGAGCTGCCTGACTGTTCGCTGGACTGTTGGGGTTCGGCTCATCCAGCAGGGACTGTGGGGACAAGAGTTGGAAATATTCAACATTTCTCCTCAAACTTAAGTTTCTTGCACCTTGAAAGATGTTCAAAAGAATTCAGAGATGATTAAAAATCAACTGAACGTTTTTCTTTCAGTAAACCATTTGGGCGACAAAGTCTGACTTAAAGGGATAGTTCAGAGATTTGGAAGTGGGGTTCTGTGAAAGGTTATGAGCAGGGCTTAATTTGTAAACCGATCAATGCTGGAACGCAAAAAGCGGGCGATCCAGCGGGGGGGGGGGGGGGGGGAGGACTCCAGGAGAGGGTGCCCCCTCCCTAGAAAATGTTGAATAAATTAGATGCCATTCCCTGCATTTTAGCAAGTTGTTAAATATCTAAGTTTACATTTGTGAATGCTTTATTCAGTAACTATTAGGGAGCAACAACAGCTCTCTCCTTGTGTGTGAATACAGCAGCTCCACTTCTGTCAAGCATCCTACCCCCCCCCCCCCTCACAGTTCCAAGCTGAATTCAGTCCTGGGCGTTGTTGCTCCTGCTCCAATCTGATGGCCACTACCTTCAGGTGCTTCAATTCTCTGTTGTCCAACTAAGGACAATCCATCCATCAATGTATTTTATCAAAGTAAATTGAATTGTCTTTGACATTTCGATCGCCGTTATTTTGACAAATTAGCGTTGTCGTTTTGATACGTGACGTAATGCGAATTTTATACAAACATTTCTTGTATTTTTAATCAAAATTTTATTAATAGCCACTTAACTGTCAAATTGATTTGCAATTTAGCTGTGCTGTTTAATTATATTTGAGTTTTTTAATAAAAATGTGTGAGGACTGAACTTTTAGGGGCGGAGATTTGAGTTGAAGCAAAAGCTATCTGCAACAGGTAAGATATCGTTTGTAAATTTAAACTCACAAAACTCAATCTTTGAAGATCTAGAATATTCATTTAGGTTCATAAATTGAGACTTGTGAGATTGTGTCCTGAAGGAAAGGGATAAAATGACAATGACACATTCAACTTCTTTTTTTTTTTTTTTTACCTGGATAGATGTAAGAATAGATGACACATCATAAGTGGGACTCCAACGGTTCTGTAAAATGTCTAGACATATACTGCCATCTGCATAGACTAGACAAAAACAAAAAGTTTCAAAAATTACACACTGCTAATACCCACTGGTGACAGTATAATACAAACTCGTAACAACACTCTTACCATTTGGATGAAACATCTTGGAGACGAATCGTACTGTGGGCGGTTTGTTGGGATATTCTTCTGTGAATTCTACAATGAGTTTAAACGTACCTGAGATAAAAACAAGAGACAAAGGAGTTAAATTATGCGAGTTAATTTCCACAGTAGACAAAAATAAAACATTTTTGCTGTATTTACTTGACAGTAACATGATAGATCAAATTTCAGTTTCAATCTCTTTCTATTTCAGAGGTTTATAAAACAGATACAAAATGAACATAACAGTAACATTAATTATTAATGTTTAATGGGGTAATTTATTACAGACATTAAACTTAATGGCTGTGTTTTACAAGATACATACCATCCTCAAATGGAGTTCCTTCAGGGCTGCAAGATTAAAACAAGATGTATTTAGTTATGTTTCACACTTTTTGAGCAAATTTGTAAAGATGGATGCATTTCACGTTCTTACCCAAATATGACCGCGTTCCACACCATGATGTTGTTTTCAGACGGGGCACCACTGACACCAGCTGGAGGATCTTCTTGGAGCCTTTGGAGCCATAATAAAGTTATGATTATTGCGAAGTCTTTTATTCCACACAATAAGAAACTTGATTTGTTCAGTTTATAAAGAAAACGTGAAATTCTTCAACATCAGAATCTCTTGCTTACATTTAACCTCAATGTTTAAGCTCCCCATAAAATGCAAATCAGCATTTTCCTTCTCACAAATTCATAGAATTACCATCAATACACACAAAATCAGACCATATTAACTTTTTAAAAGTTTCTAAAGCATATCAGCATATCTTTTTCAGTGTCCCAAGTTTAAAGCATCTTTTTCACCTAACCTAGGTCATTCCTTTCTTAAACTGTCTCTCACAGCTGGAGACACAAAAATCACGACTTGTCTTCAAAATACTCTCCCATAAAGGGAGACCTTAAAATGTAGTTTGAAACGTTATAGAGAATCCCAAAGTAAACGGACTGGAAATATGGATTAATCACACAGGAAAACAGTGGAGCTCGTTTTTAAGTAAAGAAACATTATGCTATTTTGTGGACAAGATGTTCCTTAAAATCTGTTAAAATATTACTCTACAAAATGCAGACGCCGGTTTTATTTTATTTTTATTATTATTGTTCTTTTTTGTTGTTGTCGTTGTTCTTACCTCAGTGAATTTGCGTCGTTCTTCCAAGAACTACCGATCAAAAGAGGACTGGTAATGTTAAACCTCGCCTCAAAGTAAATAAGTACATTACCTACCCGGCTAGCCTGCTAACCTCAGTGGCACTCTGAGGTTTTCGACTCATATACGACACTATTTTACAAACATTATACGATTCCCAATGAGTGTTTTAAAACTGCACTTTACTATAAAGCTGGTTCTACTTGTTCACGGTAAAATATAAAGGTTAGCTTTGACGAGCCGACGTATGCTAGGCTAGCTAATGTTAGCTGTTTTGTCAAAACAGCTAACCAACGTTATCAGCATAATTTTTGACCGACTCACCGTTTAAAATCTCTCATTAGTCTCCTTCTAGCCGGTGTGGACATGGCTTAAGCTGTGAAATACTTATTGATAACACCACTATTTTGACGGGAACTTCTTGTACCCAAGCGATATTTTTGCAGGTACTGAATTTTATGAGAAGTTCACGGCGTCTTCTTGTCACCGATGCCGACGTTTTCCGTCGTTCTCCTGATAACCCCGAGGCCCGGGTTAGCCCTGATAGGTTTACAGGACGATACCATTCACTGACGGGGTCCACAAGCGTGAGGGGCGATTTAAAATAAGATTCTTGGCTTTCAAATGCTAATAAAAAATAAAAAATTTTGAACTAGTTATATTTGACCATTTGTTACAGGTTTTTTTCACAGGATGATGTATGTAACTATGTTTTGTTAGGCAATTTAAACTTTTTCCCCCCTTCAGGGTGAAACAATCGACGTCAAGAGGCGTGGCCACAGTGACGTAGTGTTTGTGCAGAACAGGATGAGGTCTTAGTGACAGGTGCGGTATGTCCCCACACGTGAGGCTGTTTCTGAGACCTCTAACCGGGTCATTTGGAGCAGTAATTCCTTTAGATGCTCAATAGTTTCACATTTATATACAAGTTTAAAATATCCCATTGTCATTTTGCTTCTACTTTGTGCCTCAACGTTTTTCAATAATTAATTCAAACTTTTATTTTCAAATAAATGTCTGGACTTTGTTCGTTTTCAGTAGTTTCCATAATTAATATTTAGGTATACATATAAACCATGCTTCAACTCATAAGCTATAAACGTGTCATTTGATCCATAGGTACTTAACTAGCAGACTGTATCAAATACGCAGTTTCCCTTTTTTAATAAAATTTAAAAATACCCAACTCTGGTTTTTATAAAGTCTTTAAGGATCAACAACCTAGTAGTTGAAAACTTAGGTGCTGTGTCAGGTGTTTGTTCCCTTAAAGAAAACAAAGACCTGACAAAGAACCTCAGTTTCTGTTCATCTGCCATGTTTGTTTTTAACCTTACGCTTCTTTGGTCTTTAAATTCTGATGCACAGCATCAGTTCATTATGGGGCCAAGGACTGGACAGAAAATGATCCAAAGATCAAATCAAACCTCTGAAAGGCCTTGAGAAATTCCAGAAAACTTCTGATCAAGGCCACCTAAAAAAACAAGTGTGCAGCAATAAAAAAAAAACAAACAAACAAAATAGCTTAGACCTTAACATTTGTAAAACTTCTTTAATACTTAATGAGTTACACTGAACGGATGAGTTGAATTTGTTAACGACTTTAAACAAAAAGTACTGTTGTTCTGGCAGTGCTTCCTTACAGACGCTTTAGTGCAGTTTTAGAACCTATGCAACACAAACTTGAACACGTTTCTCTATCAACACAAAAATGCACTCTGCTCACGTTTCACTTACAAGTTTGTCACTGATCCCCAGCAATGACCCTGCTGTTTTAAACAAGAGTAATGTCAAAACAATACTCCACCACTCAGTGGCTTTAAGGCGAATAAATGCTCTAATTGAAATTCAGGCAAAAAAAAAATACAGCCCGTCAACTGCGTCCTTGGGACTTTACGATCCGTGGTAAAGCAGCATGGAGCTGAAGAGGGTATTGTCATACATCTGCTCTGCTTTCACAGACCTCTGGTGCTCCACCTGGCTGCCTGCAGTGCTAATGATCTCAGGTGAGCGACTGTAGACGTGCTGATCAAGGAGCATTCCTGCCGTTTGGTTATTTGAGGTAAAATCCACACAGTGTCTGTCTCCTGCCACTGGAAAATAAAAGAGCATACATGTTTTAATCATAACCTACTTTTATACAGAACAGAGGCAGGGGATAAATCTTACTGGATTTTGTTTTGCACAATTCTTTAAGTAGGTTTAGCCATGAGCAGCCAATTATCAAAATGTTAAGGTCACTATGTGACTGGATTTCAACACTAGAAAAAAAAAACGCTCTGTAACCTTCTGGATTACGCATCGATCAATAAATTGCGAAATACGCCCAAGACCCTTATGTAACCCCTCACCTACCTGGAAAGTAGGTCACGTTCTGATCATAGGTCGTTTGCACAATTTTTGCTTTGTAATGACCCATTTCTGGTGCATTCATCAGAAAAAGGTTAACAGATTTACGTCATCTAAATCTCAACATGAAAAGCGGATCAAGTCAAGAGAAGTTGCATTAATAAATGGTATAAAAATTACATCTCAGTAGGGTTCATCTGAAATAACATTAAAAAAAACATTTAAACAAGAGCCAAGTTCTTTTAGAGGCCAAGATTTGACACAAATTCAAATACATCAAGAAATCAAAAGCCACCACATCACATTTATAAAAACTGTGCCACATTTAATGATTTCAACACATCACAGTTAAAACAAAGCTGAACCTGCTCACTAACCAACTGCTGTAGGTATTAAATATACACTCATTATCCACCATGAAAATATACACAACCCATCTTCAACATGAATTTGTACTAGAAAAAAAATCCCTTGGGTCTAAAAAAGAAGCAGGAAAATATTGTTCAACAAAGCTCAAGAAGTAAGGCATTTTGCATAATGTATGCAATCTTTCTTAAGCAGAAATGATTATAAAACAACAGATTTAAGCAATCGTACAAGGTGCACCATGACATATACACGTAAACCCCACCGGCTGCCTAAAAACAGCACAAACAATAAACATTCATTACAAACCAAAACATTTAAATTAAAAAAAGAGGAAACCCAAAGCTTATGCATCATCATTTCTTAATGTAGCAACAAACCAGAATCAGTCAGTTATTCCTTCTTTACAGGCTACATTCATGGATGCTTTGGCATCAAGTTGTTCTTGAATATTCAAGTTTAAAGGGCCCTGCACGCTCCATCCCAAGCCGCAAAACCAGCTCTCACTGACGTAGTCGCGTCATTTTGTTCTCGGAGCAGCTTCGCCCGCCCCTTCTCGACGCACGGCCCGGGTGGAACTTTTCCTCAAAAGGCGTATGCGCCAACTATTGTGTGTTTGTCAATGTGGTGTTTGCAGGTGCTCAGATATTCAGCTGAACGACTCTTCAAACACACTAAGACAATCAAACGGCCAAAAACTCCTGGGTGGAGATGGACCAGACACTGTCTGGAGGTGTATGGATGCTAATTTGTGGCCAAACGGCAGAGGCCGGGATGAAATGGAGGTCGTGGTGGGAAGAAACCCTGCGGTGACGTATACTGCAGAGGTTTCCCAGGTGGTCTGTGCCGTGTTTCATGTCTGACAAGTGTTGAAACCTGAACGACTGGCGACCACGAGTCAACTGTCGGCTTCAGATGGAGTACGCTGGACCCTTAAGTTAATGCATCAAGACACCCCTCCTAAGCATGTGTGTAAATCTAAGAGCCTGGCATTTTAACTTTGTATAAATGTCAAACAAACATAATGTAAAACTGGTACTTGACCTACTAAAACATTTATCAAACATTTATTTTTAACAGAAATACAAAACAGAGGTTTATTTGTTTTCTTTGCAGCTGCATAAATGTATTAAAGTTACATCTACCCCAAAAAGTTAAGTCTGTTAACTCGATAATGCTCAAATTCATTGACGTTCCCAAAAACAAAGAACTATGGAGATATTTTCAGGCGACCGTTTCCTTGAACACCGCAGAACTTTAAAAAGCACTTGCTAGGACAATTTAAACATTTTCACTGGGTATGCAAACACTGCTGTGAAATTGTGCAAAACAAAATCATTCTGTAATTATAAGCCCCAAAAAAACTGACAATTACATGGCTGTAATCTGTTGGACTAGAAGAATAGATTGAATATATAGCGATAGAACTACAAAAAACATTTTGGAACTTTTATCCATCCAAGTTTCATCAGTTACATGAAAAAGTATAAAATACACCACTCACTCTGACACATGGTTTTACAAACCCTCAAATATAGCTCGCCACCAAACCAAAAGTACTTCTTTGTGTGTATAACTTAAAAAGAAAAAATTAAAATAGTACAAATGAGTATATAATAAAAGTGTGCCTTTAAACAAGCCCTTCTACAGGTAAGCATAAGAATTAGTGCAGCGACAAGGAGTCTGCATTGACGCTACGGTGATGACTTCCAGCTCTTTAGTCGCAGGGCTCAACGTGTCCTGTGGACCCTGGTCCTCACACGGTTCCAGAGACCCCAGCCCCTGAGGCGGTGCAACCCCATTCAGCCCAAATGCAAAGCTTCCCTGCCCACCTGAGGTTACAGTCGCTGTCTCCATGTTCATGCTCTCCATCTGGGCGTCTTCGTTGCCACCTAGTGGCCCGTTCCCGTTCAGAAATTCAGGTGGCATGCACAGTCCTGCAGAGAGAGAGCTAAATCAGTCTTCTAAAGCAGAGTTTTTCAAAGTGGGGCCGCCAGGGGGCGCCCCAGAAAACTGAAGAAGATTAAAAAAAAAAAAAGCAAAAAGCTAAAATAGAAATAATAATAAAAATTTCCCACTAGGGCAATCTGTAGCTGTAATTTCCAGATAAACACGCTTGAGAGAGAGAGGTTAGATTTATTTTGTTTTGTTCTTCTGGTCAACAGTTTGTTGAAAAGTTGTTGTTTTTTCAGTGGGAATATGTTTAAAACATGTTAGTTAATAACATTTTTATGCTCAGCAGCTGTAATAATTGAATATAGTGAATAAAAGTTAAAACATTCTAAAAACTGATGTCTCTTTACATATTTTGTAGCACTGTTTGTGCGTTTGTTACGGGACCTGGGCCAGAAGTTAATGCTGTTTGGGGCCGTGGCATGGAAAGGTTTGGGAACTCCTGTAAAAGCACTTATGCTCCTCCAGTTTTTAAAGGGAGGGAAAAATGGAGCGTGAGATCGATAGGCGGATAGGTGCAGCATCTGAAGTGAAGCGGGCGCTGTACAGGTCTGTCGTGGTGAAGAGAGAGCTGAGTCAAAAGGCGAAGCTCTCAATTTACCGATCGATCTACGTTCCCACCTTCATCTATGGTCACGAGCTTTGGGTTGTGACCGAAAGAATGAGATCTCGGATACAAGTGGCCGAAACGAGTTTTCTCCGCAGGGTGTCTGGGCTCTCCCTTAGAGACAGGGTGAGAAGCTCGATCATCCGGAAGGGACTCGGAGTAGAGCCGCTGCTTCTCCATGTCGAGAGGAGCCAGTTGAGGTGGCTCGGGCATCTGTTTAGGATGCCTCCTGGACGCCTCCCTGGTGAGGTGTTCCGGACACGTCCCACCGGAAGGAGGCCCAGAGGAAGACCCAGGACATGCTGGAGGGACTATGTTTCTCGGCTGGCCTGGGAACGCCTCGGGATTCCCCCGGAAGAGCTGGCCCAAGTGGCTGGGGAGAGGGAAGTCTGGGCCTCCCTACTTAGGCTGCTACCCCCGCGACCCGACCCCGGATAAGCGGAAGAAAATGGATGGATGGATGGATTTAAAAATTGCTACAAAAAAAAAGAAAAGAAAAAAGAACTAATCACTGTGGCCAAGTGTTTGTTGAAATTAAACTCTTCATTTATTGAATCTGTTCATGTGAGGTGCCTTAAGATTATATATTTTTTCCTTTTGTCATAATTTCTTTGCACTGTCCTTATCAATTATTAAGTGTAAACGTATATTTCTATAACGCAGCCAACTTCTGAGTCACTAATGGCTTGTTATTTACAAACGCTCAAAAATATTCAGTTTTATTCATAAACACATGTCATTGTTTCTTTATGGTTAAAACTGAATTACTGAGTACAAATCAAACCTATATTTTTTAACATATCTCAAACTTCACAGCAACTGATTTGCTGCCCTGATGGTAAAAGTGTCAAATCCCATCTTTTTTTTTAACCCATGCCATTTTTAAAAGTACAACTGTTACAAGAAGCTTAGTTTGTTACAGAAAGAAGACAAAATAAAAAAGTTTAGAACAAAATATAATTAATTTGGATTTCGTTAAAGCCTTCATATAAGACAACTTAGCAAAAGAAGCTTTTTGCATTTAAAGATATTAACATGTTTCTTGTAAAAAAAGTACACAAAACAAACAAGATCAACTTTAAAGACCTACCGTTGGGTCTAGCCCTCTTCAATGGATTCGCCTCAATGCCGTCAAAAGACCTCTTTCTGTTGGGCACGCCATTCAAGAAGCTGCGTCCCTGGGTGGTGGGCAGAATGTGGCCCCCATTCTGGCTCAGGCCATTGAGAAAAGCCCTGTTATGGGACTGAGCCGTGTTTTGATGGAGGTTCTGGGCATTGGCGAGAATTTGAGCGCACTCCTGGAATCCCTGTGCGTGGGCCAGGTCAGCAGCCATCAGCCCACTGGCATTCCTCATGCTGCACAACAGGAAGGACGAGTGTCAGAAACGCTCACTGTACGTTGGGTTCACACTAAAACAAAATGAGACGAGCACACACGCACACACACACACACACTCTCACACAGGCGCACGGACAGACACATTAAGCAAGTATTCGCACATGGACATTCACAGGTGTAAAGAAATAACCTGCACTGCTCTACCCTTACACATCATTTCATCATCTTCATGAAGATGACGGCTGATCCCTTTTGGATCACTGGCTTCTCACAGAGAATCCAAATCATTTCTGTTTCCACTGTTAGGGAAACATATTTGCTGCAAAGTGACATGATTAGGACAACTGAAGCTTCTCCCCACGTAAGTCTGAGTATCCAAAGCAATCCATCGAACTGAAGACGATAAAGGAGTCGCTGAATCAAAAGATGTCTGCCGGTAGTTTGATGGTCGGGACAAAAGGCAACGTCAAGGAGAATCCTAAAGAAATCTTTATCGGTTGATGATGATGCTCAAGGATCTCCAAAGATGAATCTGAATTCCAGATGTGTTTATACGTAAGATGAATGTTTACTGAATGAGAAGAGTGCACTGAAAGTACTTGCTTCCTGATAAGTGAGGAAGGGAAGGCAGAGAATTCTTCAGAAACCTTCAGAAGACTCAGCATTGTCGCTGAGCGGACATCAGGATGTCGTTTCCTCAAACGATAATCCAGAAGACAAAGATACGACTAGAACAAGTCAAACTTGAGCTGCCAAGAGTTGAAATCCAGAAATCTTCTCTTCAAATGCGGAGAACTCTATAAACGCTTCTTACCGTAGGACAGATGCTTCCCCGTGTCTTTGCTTTTTTTAGTTTTACGGTCATTTTTCTTAAACTGGTACGCCTTACAAACAGTTGTGTTAATCATGTCCAATTGCAGCAAGAACAAAAAGATTTTCTGAATGAAATAATGAATGAGCAAACAGCGCCGTGCTTTACATTTGTTAAACCAATTTACACTGAAAGTTTCTGTAGCATGGAAGTAATGTCACAAGATTAAAACTACGTCAAAAACATTTTATTTAAAACTAATTCAACACCTTATGGTATGCACCAATTTACAGCAGAACAAAGTCTGATTATTAGTTGTAAATTATGAAAGAAGCATTGAACAAATTATCAAATGTCTTTTGGGGAATGTCTCCGCTTTCTGTGAGCCAACATGAAAACAACGCTGCTCTTGTTCCGAGTCTAAATATCATCACGCAGCAACGTGGGTTCTTCAACACAGTTACGTCTTTGTCAAAGAACTGGAACAACGAGCCCAACCTTCTACTTTTAATTAACACGTGAAATTAAAGCACGGACATTTAACTATCTGATGGATATTTTGAACAAAAGCCAAATATACTTGTGCTGCAGTATTGTCAATCTCTACTGTATTAAAAATAAATAAGTTATTTATAAAACCGATTCTGAACACTCATTAAAACCAGGTGACATTAACGTCCACACAATGAAACAGAATCTAAAGCACAGCCACTGTTGGGTCATTCATTTTGAATTAAAAAAAGCTCATTCTCTTCATTCTTCTCTAAACTGTTGTGCAAAACAAACGAAAGAAAAACATTTCAAGAGCTAGTGCACAAGATAAAACATTCTGTAATAATTATAAGATTTAAAACAAACAAAAAGATCACACAATAACTTGTTGCACATTACCCGACCCTTTCCAAATTAACGCTTCCAAGAAAGTTTTGACCCCCACCAATTATACAAATAAGATTATACTTGAACAACATCAAGGTAGATGGATCAGTCTCACACTAAGGAATACAAATTATACTATTTTTAAGCATTTAATTTTATGCACCATAAGTCCAGTGCAAATAAATAAAACTGACGATGCATAAATTACATCTAAATATAACTAATAAAAACAGAATAATTCAAAATTCCTGTTAAAATCACTGTTTTTTTTAAGGTTGTGTTGCAAAGTGTAAACTAGATACTAATGGGAGTCCAGTGGTTTAAGCCTCTGGATTCAAGAGTCTCGTTTTAAATCCAACCCAAACAAAACCATCTCCAAACCAGGATTCCTTTAACACTTTAAATCAAAACTTAACATTATAAAGATAACGTGGCAAAGAACAAAATGAAGAAAGTTTTAAAGACTGCCGAGTTACAACAGTAACATTTTATTTGGAGGAAATATTCAAACCAGTGAGTGAAATGTTTTAAACTGATACTTTCAAATGTTTCGTACAAAACTGTTTGCATTAATTATCCTCATTAAAATTAAATAACTGAATTAAAGTGATTTCCTTGTTTACATTACCCTTAAAACTCTAACCAGTATTCCTTCAGTGAGACCTAACATCAACAAAAAAACACCGATCCAATAAATTGGATCACCGATGAGTCATGTTTGAATGGTTATTTGTAAAAAGAGGAAGCGTTAATTTTTCGTAAATGCCTGGTATGCTTTGCTTTTCAGTCCTAAGCACACAGTATGCATCTTCTCTAACTACTGTCTGACCTTCCAGAGGCAGCCTAGAAGTCATGCTAAATGTTGACATGGGACTCACGTGATTTAACCTGTCCATATAAAGGACTCCTATGGTTAGTTCAAAAAACAAATCATTAAAAAAAAAAGAAAACAAAAAGGCTAAAGTACAGGAACAATCATGGATAATAAGCAAAGCATGCAGGTCTAAAAACAAAAAACTTCAGTTTTGATTCATAATAAAAACCTAGCATTAAAACCAATCACCGCAAGAAATACCTCAACAGTTTGCCAGTGTGTAGATAGGAAGCGATAGTGAGAACACTCAATGCCACAACAGTGCGGCTATCCCAGGGAACGGGGCAGACTCAGCAGTGTCTATTCTCCCCCTTTCTAGGATTACTCGAAAAAACCAAGTCATTTCCAATTCAATGGCTGCAAAACATTCAGATGTACGGTTCTGGTTTTGTTAGCAGTACAGCAAACGTTTCTTTTTTTGCAACTTATTGTCACTTTCATAAAGGTAAAGGTGACAAAGATTAGAAGTCAAAACAGACTATGATAGTAAATATATATAAGGGTTAATACTGTGACATACAAAAGAAAACATTTCTGTGTAGAAAGTAACATTTCTGGTACAGTGAAATGACAGTGAATAACCATTGCAACAGGATGATGTTAGCATTAAACAGGTCAGAACATGATGCTATGCAGAGTTAACTCTTCTCACTCAACTTCTCTGAACATGTCTGCTCTGCTCGTCACTACAAGCCTCCATAAATGTCCTACCTGCAGCTAGCTTTCTACTGGACCACCTGAACAGTTTGAGGCTCATGACAAACAAGGACTAAACCTATGCAAGGGTTTTTTTTTTTTAATGTTTCTTTGTTTAAAACAATTTTTATAACGTTTCTAATATTCTAGTTTCAAGGCTATTTAAAAAGTATTATTCCATTGGTAAATATTTTTTACATAAATACCAGTAAGTGATATTTGTGTTTAAAAATCACCAGAAGTTGTTCCGTTTTTGGGACTGAGACGAATAAATCTTATTTGGAAGGACATAAAGCTCTGAAACATTGTTATAAATTTAAAAAACGTCACATTTTGAGTTTATATGCAGAGATGAAGAAATGTGGGGAAAGTGAGACCTTTACTGAGAAGAGCACGACACTGGTCCATTCTTGTCCCGTTCAGATAAACTGGTCTTTTACAGAGCTGCTGCAGAGCAGAAAGGTGCAATGCAAGAAAACTGTATTCCTGTGAAGCAGCAGAAAATGTTGCAAATAAATGTGTATCTCAAAGAAAAGGAAACGTGAAGCTATTGAAAGAGCTCTTGCTTTTATATTTATGTTCCAGATGACTTCTTGCAAAGGTTAAAAAAGGCATAAAAGCACGACTCCAAATATTTTAATACTGTATCCAAAGGGTGACTTGTCAAGACCCAGAATCAAGAATCGGGAGTTTCAATATGATCCGATGAAATTGTGCGGGTTATTTTAATGAGTCAAAGGATTTAATTCTTACAATTTCTTCTTCTTGTATTCTTTTTCCAGCAGCAAAAGATCCAGTGCACAAGCTTTAAGGGAATCGGTGAACATTTCTGCAAAATGTTTACTATTTACGAGTGCTGGATTATTTCTTCCATGAATTCCCAAGTCAGGAAGGTTTGATGCAGAGTTTGAGGTGAAGTTAAGCTCAGCAGAAGAAGTGAAACTGACAACACAAAGAAAATGGGATAAATGATGACGAGGCGAAGAAAGGAAGTTTGCAGAAAGGTGCAAGATCCAAACCACCTTTGTTGATGTGTCTTACAGACGGCTGAGAAACTGAAAACAAGAATAAACCATGAATTTATGCAGGCAGGAAAAGCAAACGCTGGAAGAAAATCTGATCCAACAATGAGCTGAAAAGAAAACTAAATTTGAGATGAAAGAAACTGGTGTATTACTCTTTTGAAAAACTGATAACTATTTTAAATATTTGAAGTTTTTTGTGCTGAATTTAACAAAAGAAAAAAAAATGCATCAGAAATTAAAACAAATTTTGTAAGCTGAAGTTCTGACTGCCCCGTTACAACTTCATTGATTTAAAGTAGTTTATTTATTAAATATCTTTTATGTCTATAACAACAAAGTGAGTGATAAAAGCTGAAAATATAAAATCTATTTTATAGCCATCACATAAATTAGTGATTATCTTTTCCTTAACATTTAACTTTGTTAAAAGTTTATTCTTGGTGGTGTAAATATGGTAAAAATTAAATTATGTTCTTGGTTTGTTTTTGTCTTCTCACATAAACAAACACTAAACTGCTTTTGTTTTGTAATGAAAAGGTAGAAAACTACAACGATTTTAGAAAAACTTAAATATACTAAATATTTTCTTTTTAAGTATGTATTGTATTTAAATATCTGGCAGTATGATGTTTCTTATATATTTTGAAGCATAACTAAAGAATAGGTTGGTTATTTGTTTTAAAAACAGAAATATTAGTCGTTTTTTTTCTCTCGTCAGTTTTAAGTGATTTTGTCATGAGCCTCATTCCCACCTTGTGTGCTTCAGTTTCCCTCCCGGTTCTGAATCATAAACTAAACCAAAAAGCTTCAAGAAACAGAACAGATAATAAACTAAACTTAAGAACATGTGACCTGCAGGGGAAAAGGAAATCACATCATTTCAATCTTCAGTAAAATTCATCAGTGGATAACCAAATGCACAGAATGTTGGTTCAACAAGAAATAAAGGCTCCGTTTACGTCTGAATACAATCAGTTGAGTCCGTTTGGTGAAACAACCACAGCAACCAGGGGGTTCAATTTACTAAAAATCAAACTTCATCTAAATGTCCTGATCATAGTGTCTCAGTTACTTGGATTACACGAATACAAAGAATAATACTTGCACTTTAATGCACAGTAACTTCCTCCTTGCGTATACTTTTGTCACTAGGCAAGAGGCTCACTAAAACGTTCTCACAACCCTTTAAGGTTAGAAATACACGTTTGTTTTCTTCTCTGTGACTAAACCAAATGTCATTAGATTATATTGAGGTTGTCAAAAATAGATTCTTTGCTTTCATTACAAGTGCCTAAAAAGATCAAACTCACAGTCAATCTTTCACGTCGGTGTTTACTTTCTTCACTCGTAGCCTTAAATGAACTCAACATTCAACAAACGAGCTACACACAATTAACTGTACAGCTGGACCCCCCTGGGAGCTTTGGGTTTCTGTAACGCCACAATTACGCACATTTAAGGCAGACAGTTTGTTGCAGAAAATGAAACTGCGTGGGAAACCTTTTACAACGGGGAGGAAATAGTTAATCTGAGGTGTGTTCACGTTTGGTAATCCATTTGACCTGAAGAAGATCCAGTTTGGATTGAAACAATGGCAATAAACCAGTCCTGTTCGGGGACTAGTGTGCAGGTTTTTCTTCAGTAACCCACAGAAACAGTAAATCTATCACACCAACTAACAATAAACATTGGGGATGCACGATATTATCGGCATGGTATCGGTATATATTAGCGTTAAAGTTAAATATCGGACATTTCATTAAAATTACTCACCGATATCAAAGACGCTGTTTTTGTATTTCAACCCAGTGACAGGGATGCCTGCAGCGGCAGCACAATATGATGACGTCACGCACGCCTACCTGATCTGATCACGGCGGAAAAGAAGAAGTCAAAATGTCGGCGTGTGGAAGGTTTTTTTTCATTGAGGATGTCGGATTCCGAAGATATTTGGACTACGTTGAGCCTCGCTACATCGTCCCCAGTCTGAGATCATTTCTGGCGTCATTGAGAAGCTAACAGCCGATAGCACGACTTGTTGGGTGAGTTTTACCACAGACATTTGGAGGTTGTGTTAGCCCCGTTAGCATGATTCATCTTACGGCACAATGGATAGACAAAAACTTTCAACTTAAAAAGTCTGTCCTTCATGCACAGAGGATCCCACACTGCAGCTAGGAACCTGGAACAAGCCTCCACAAGTGAGACAGCATCGCAGGTGACTAATGCTAATCAATAACATTTAACACTTTTCATTTAATATAAGTCAAAGTGCTATGCATATCATATGGCTGTTAATGAATATATGTCACCAGCTCTTACAGCTGTTGCACAATTTTTGTAGCAAATGAGCTTAAATAAGAGGCCTATGTTCTGACAAAGGAAAGTGTATTAAAAATATCGGTATCAGCCAAATAAGTTTTAACATATCGGCCCAAAAATCCAATATTGTGCATCCCTACTATTTTGGTGTTTAAGAGTTAAAACAGTGAAAACTTGCACAAAATTACCACTTTCACATGGAACACAACAAGATTGTGGCAGCAGGGAAGGGAACTCTCAGGCTGCTGAGGTGGTTTGCAGGATCTAAGAGTTTAATCACTGACTGCGTGTTCATCTAATGGTTTTATGCAGAAAAAATAAGGCGTGTCCTTGTTTGTGCTTCAGGTGCCATCAGTCGCAAAATACTTTCCATAACTGATCCTGGCACAAGAAAAAACAACCGCCAACTACAACAGGTGTGGCTTGTTTTTACAGCTCAGGAAAATCATAAAGGAGCTTATCTACACTTTGACAACTGGAAAACAAGAGAGCTCTTTGTTTCACAAGCTGGATGAGTGTAGAAGGTGCCGATCAGGAAAGTAGACTTTAAGAACGGGACGTTTCAAATCTTTAAAAAAAAATGGCGCAACATTTTCATTGTGTGCAACAAACAACCTGCAGCCTCTCAGATCGACTGTCGAAGTGCTTCAGATAAAGAAGCAAATGTGCATTTGGTCATCCAGTTAATGCAAGACCCTAGCCAAAACAAACGTTAAATAAAACCACATTGTAGTTTTAACAAACATCATGCAATAAGGCCTAATAAGTAATAAACAGCATATTTTGCATTAAGTTGTCCTTATGTTTGTGTAATAATTGGGCTAAACTGGCAATGCTAATCATTAAAACCCAAAGTTGATCTACTTTTACAAAAATGTACCCTCAAATTACAAAAAATAAGTCACGCTGTCGTTTTATAGCGCCAAGTTTACTGATTAGCGTCTTTCAATTTATTACAAATTACCTGCTAATATTACACACAGAGGACAACTTTATGCCAATTGTTGCAATTTAAAACAACAATTTCAGAGATTAAACAGAATATCTCACATTTCCAAGGGAACACCACCAACTTTTTTTTCTTCTTCAAATCAGTTTATGAAAAACACTAGAAATATTTAGAAAATCGACTATAAAAAGGTATTTTATATTGAAACACTTATTGAGCATTCTGCCAACTCCAAATTGCTTTCAGATTAGCTAAATTACTTAATCTTTGTGGATTACATTCAATGCAAACCGACAGCAGCATGGGGTCAGATTTTCTGTCTGGTGTAAATTTTAGCACGAGATAAAACACACTGTAGAATTAATTTGTGTTTTATTGAACGGATCATTACAAAATGGCAAATTCTACATTCATTACAAGCCATCTCGTAAATATACGTCTACATTGAAACATTTTAAAACACCTAAACTGGTTTAATCTCAATAGTAAAATCGAGCAGCTTTATTTAACTAATATGGGTCACTAATAGTACAACATATTGTTTGTAATGTTCCACTTTTCATAAATTCTGTCAAAATCTTTTCTCCCATCTGCACAACTAATTTGCAAATAGTCTGATTTGTCGCATATCTTTATTTCTTAAAGCTCAGTGCTGCTCTGAAATTAAAACTTGATGGGGATCCCTTGGAAAGGTGCAACTGAAATGTTGAAAATTAAAGAGGAAAAGAAATGTGGACACAAGACTGATCGCAGGACTTACTCAGCTTTCGCTCCCTGAATCAAGAGAGCGTGGATGCACTCCAGACTGCCCGCTCGAGCAGCCTTGTGGATGGGCGTCTCGCCCACATAGTCCTGAGTGATAACAAGAACAGCTTTATGAGCCAAAACACTTCTGTTTGAGACACTGAAACTATTTTTTAATCTATTTTCTCTCTAACTCTCTCTCCCCTCTTGTATTTCCAAGGACAAGCTTCAGAAGTTACCACAGGGTGTGACTGGGGCTGAACTTTTTACCAAGACATCACAACCGCCCACACACACCAGTGCAGTTACATTATCTGAGAGCAAACGGAGGTGGGGGAAAAACACCAAAACGACCGCCTGTAACCACAGTCTAATGTAGGCCACTCGAAGACTCTGCTACTCTGCGGTCTGACATCACAAATCCAAAATAAACTGAGTTTTCTTAGCAGTATCTGGTAATTTAAAAAAAAAAAAGCTCAAAAATGTCAAAAGGATGAAGAGATCAGAGCGCCTTCATGATGACGACAATACGTTATGTCATTGTGACCTACTAATCCAATCTCTTACAGTAGTGCAGCAGAGCATAAAATATAACCCCATAGCCCGAGTCCAAGCATGAAATCCCATCAGCAGCAGCAGGAGGACAAAGCCTACACACTCGTGTGGCAGATAATGTGACACTAACATGAATGTAGGTCAAGTGTAGGAGTAAGTCACAGTACTGTCAGGATAATAATCTAAAGTTAGTATGATCCTCTTTGATGGGATCATCTAAGCTCATTCTCACTTCTGCGCTGCTCTTTTCATTCGCTGTCAACCAGTTGGATAAAACAAGGTAAAATGTTTGCATCTTGTTTAATGTCGAGTCACAAATACTCCGCAGATGTTTTAAAACGGGCCACTCTTACAAAGTCACACCCCCCGAAAAAGACCATCTTTACAGGAAATACTAGCAAGAGACCGTCCTTGAAGAAACTAAACTGTCTAGGAGAGAGATCAAGAGAGAGTGTGCAGATTGTCCTACCTGTTTGTTAATATCTGCACCCGCTTGAAGTAGCCATAACAAACATTCAGGGTGGCCCCCAAAGGCAGCAATGTGAGTGGGTGTCTGGGCAAACCTGGAGGTAACAGAGTTCACACCACAGCCCACCTGGACCAGACGCATAACACACTCCAGCTGTGGAGACAAAGATGGTTTGGGGAGATTCATTCAGGGCAGGTATGGACAAGTGAGACAAAAAATGTTACTTGAGCCAGTCTTAAAGAAGGTTTTGCAATGTCTGTGCAAAGGGTTGGCCTGCCATTTCCATTAGATGTAGCTGATGTAGTGTTTGTGGTTTAATAAACATTAATTGTGCTCAAAAATGCCTCCTGGCTTTGCTAACGGAAGATAAAAAGCAGGTAGTGCGAATTAAATTTAGCTAACATGACGTTTACAATCGTTAATGAATATATGTTACTTACTGTCCATTTATTCGTTTTTGTTTCAGTGCAGAGTTTCGTTACTTATTACTTAAACACGCGGTGATGCACTCCAGATAAACTAAAAACTAAATGTTAGCTAGAAGCATCTTTCTTCACCTAGCTATAGCTGCGTGTTTAGTCGCGCGCACCGAGCAGGAAATGGCCGAGTCGAGGCTGATGTCGGAAGGCGCCGACGCTCATTCCGGAGTCTGTTTTACCGAAATATCCATTAAACAGGCCAGTCAGACGGTTTAGTCGTACCTTTCCGAAATGAGCGGCCCAGTGTAGAGGCGTCCAGCCGTAGAAGGTGTCCTCAACTGTGAGGTCAGCCGGGTTCGAGGTGCACTGAAGGAGGGAGCACAAGGCACCGACGTCTCCATCCCTGCAGGCTCGATGGAGCGGGAAGCGGCTGTTTAAGACCTCCTCACTCGAAAATCCAGACTCCACTCCAACAGACATTGTAGCAAAATATTATATAAACAGATAAATGTTAGCAGGCTACTTCAGAAAAGACAATAAAATACCTATCTATCGCCGAACTACGCTTTGAGGGGGTGATTGTTGAGGACACGCGCGCCACCCTGACTACAGAGGCTTTCTGCCTGACAACAAAGCACAGAGCAGAGCACGCGCCGGAGTGAAACTGGAGAAGCTCAGGGAGAGCTGGAAACTCTGGAGTGGAGTTTTTGCGCCGAAGTGAAAATAGAGAAGCTCAGGGAGAGCTGGAAACTCTGGACTGGATTTTCACATCACACAGAAAAATTGTACTTTTATTACAGGGATCGCGAACTAGCAGAGGGCAGAGAATATATTAGTATATATATGTACAGGTGCTGGTCATGAAATTAGAATATCATGAAAAAGTTGATTTATTTCAGTAATTCCATTCAAAAAGTGAAACTTGTATATATATTCATTCATTACACACAGACTGAAATATTTCAAATGTTTATTTCTTTTAATGTTGATGATTATAACTGACAACTAATGAAAACCCCAAATTCAGTATATCAGAAAATTAGAATATTACTTAAGACCAATAAAAAAAGGATTTTTAGAAATGTTGACCAACTGAAAAGTATGAACATGAAAAGTATGAGCATGTACAGCATCAATACTTAGTTGGGCTCCATTAGCCTGGATTACTGCAGCAGTGAGGCGTGTGGCATGGAGTCGATCACTGCTCAGGTGTTATGAGAGCCCAGGTTGCTCTGATAGTGGCCTTCAGCTCTTCTGAATTGTTGGGTCTGTTGTATCACATCTTCCTCTTCACAATACCACATAGACTTTGTATGGGCTTAAGGTCAGGTGAGTTTGCTGGCCACTTAAGAACAGGGATACCACGGTCCTTAAACCAGGTACTGGTAGCTTTGTCACTGTGTGCAGGTGCCAAGTCCTGTTGGAAAATGAAATCTGCATCTCCATAAAGTTGGTCAGCAGCAGGAAGCATGAGGTGTTCTAAAACTTCCTGGTAGACGGCAGCGTTGACCTTGGACCTCAGAAAACACAAGTGGACCAACACCAGCAGATGACCCCCCCCCCAAAAAAAAAAAAAACAAACAAACAACAACAACAAAACAAACAAACAAAAAAATCACTGACTGTAGAAACTTGACACTGGACCTCAAGCAACGTGGATTCTGTGCCTCTCCTCTCTTCCTCCAGACTCTGGGACCTTGATTTCCAAAGGAAATGCAAAAATTTACTTTCATCAGAGAACATAACTTTGGACCACTCAGCAGCAGTCCCATACGAGATGCTTCTGACACTGACTCTTGTTCAAGAGTGGCTGGACACAAGGAATGCAACAGCTGAATCCCTTGTCTTGCATATGTCTTTGCATGGTGGTTCTTGAAGCACTGACTCCAGCTGCAGTCCACTCTTTGTGAATCTCCCCCACATTTTTGAATGGGTTTTGTTTCACAATCCTCTCCAGGGTGCAGATATCTCTATTACTTATACACTTTTTTTCTACCACATCTTTTCCTTCCCTTCGCCTCTCAATAAACCTTTTTCACGACAACCGGAAGTAGCGTCTCCTGGTGCTGGGTTACTTCCTGTTTTTGCGAGTCTATGCAAGTGCCAGTCTTTTCTTTTGCTGATGTGGAGGAAATCGCAGCGGCGAATTCACGAACCAATAAACTTGAGAAAGGATAAAAGTTCTTCCATGAAGAATATATCCACAGCTATCAAGGTAAGATAAGACGTAGCTTAGCGAGCTAACCGTTAGTTACAACATATGAAGTACATAAACATCGTAATAAAGCCTAATTTAGTGTGCTAAATTATTTAGAATATTTGAGACAGACGGTATAAACTTTTAAATGATATTTTAACATTCTGATTTGTGTTTGCCATTACAATTTGTGAAAGAACACGTACTAGATGTTAGTTATGAGATGCTATGATGCTTGATGTTCAAACTGTGCTTTACTTCTGCATAAATACAGGTCAAATATTGTCGAGGGACAGGTAGTTGTCAGAGCAAGATGCTTTATGAAAATCCACCCACAACTCCGCATGTGCTAGACAAACAGGTCACAAACCGATTTGACTTTGTATCAATATCTCCCAGTGAGGTTCTAAAATGATATTTTATCACAATTCCAGTCAGGATTCAGAAAACAGCACAGTACCGTAACTACAGTTCTCAAAGTATTAAATGACATCATACATGCCCTGGACTTCAAACAATACTGTGTTGCCCTATTTATAGACCTATCCAAGGCATTTGATACAGTTGATCACAGACTATTGACTAACATCCTGAAACACTCTGGTCTATCAAAACTAGCAGTCTCCTGGTTCACCAACTATCTAACTGACAGAACACAGTCTGTCCATGTAGCTGGATCCTCCTCTACGTTCCTAGATGTTGTGAAAGGGGTGCCACAGGGTTCTGTCTTGGGTCCCATTCTTTTCTCCTTATATATCAACGATCTATGCAGTGATCTGTCAAACGCCTCCCACCATTATTATGCAGATGACACTATCATTTATTGCTGTTCATCCTCCCTCAGCCAAGCCTTCACTTCTCTTCAAGACGCTTTTAATATTTTCCAGTCACGTCTGCAAAAACTTAGACTGGTCCTAAATGCTGACAAAAGCAAGATCATGGTTTTATCCAACAGAAAGCAGCAACCAGAGAACCCACCTCAAATTGAAACCCAAGAGGGAAAACAAATAGAAATGGTCTCCACCTACAAATATCTAGGTTTCAACATTGACAATAAACTGTCATTTAAAATCCACATCTCCAAAATGGTCACTAAACTCAAATTGAATCTAGGCTTCTACTTCAGAAATAAATCCTGCTTCTCATGTAAAGCCAGGAGAACATTAGTAGCTGCAACTTTCATGCTGATATTAGATTATGGTGACGTGCTGTACATGACTGCTGCATCAAAATACCTACAGTCCTTAGACTCAGTTTATCATGGTGCCCTTCGATTCATTACTGATTCCAGTTATCGCACTCATCACTGTGAACTTTACGTCAAGTCTAGCTGGTCTTCTCTCAGCGCTCGCAGATACACTCACTGGATATCCTTCATCTATAAGACCCTTCTAAACCTAGTCCCGTCATACCTTACCTCCCTAATACAAACATCACACAATCATTACTCCCTGCGCTCTAATGACTTAATCCTCCTGTCAGTTCCTCTGGTCAGAACTGAACTAGAAAAAAGAGCATTCAGCTTCGCCGTCCCCTCAGCCTGGAACAACTTACAGACAGATTTGAAACTATCAACACTCATCTCGCCTAGATCCTTCATGTCAACCGTATCAGATAATGTTATCAAAAATCTGGACCATTGCAGATGTTTCTAAAACATTACTTATCAAATATACATGTCTGTTCACTTTTAACTCTGTCTACTTAACCTGATGTCTGTTCTACATTTAATGCCTACAGAAGTCTGTCTTATCCAGATGGTTTCAAACTGTTAACATTTATTTTTCGTGATAGTAGTTTCTTTTTCTTTTGATAAATGTAAATGCTTATTGTCAATTACCCTGTGACGTGTGCTGATGACCACTTGACCAGGTCACCCTTGTGAAAGAGATCTCGATCTCAACGGGCTCTACCTGGTAAAATAAAGGTGATTGATTGATTGATTGTTTATGACAGCTGAAGAACTTTGACGTACGATGGACAACTTCTGTACTGAGAGCTTACAGTAACATCTTCCTGCTCAGTGGTTAGTTTGTCTTCTGTTGTTGTAGCAGCATAGTCTGTTTTGTTCTGCTGCTGTTTCAGCTCATCTTCAAACTACAATCTATTACTTGTTTAAAGCTAAATATGTTATAACAAGTATTATATGTATGTGCTAAAAACAGTGATCTGTTTTAGATCTCACTGGGTGACAGCAGGAGAAAAACTACGTCAGCTGGAGTCCCAACCACTTATCGCTCGTCGTAGATGGTCTCTAAACTTTGGAGCTGGTACCATCCAGATGTGGTCCTGTGCCACAGGGCTCACAGATGTCCTACCAGTGCCCACCTGAGAAGTCCTTCAGTAGCATCATTCTGCTCCACACTTCCCTGCTCTTCCTCTGCAGTCTTCCCAACATGTGTTTTGTGTCCACACTTCACATCTTCAGTCTCTGCAAGTGTCACTGGAAACGTCTTATGAAACAGAGGCCAGAACCAGGGAGCAGTCCAGATGTTCTGCGTGGGTACAGCTTCGACTTACTGCCGTTTCCGTGTTGCAGAAGAAGTGTGGAGTCTGCTGACATGTTTTACTTCAACACCTTCATGCATGTGTTTATATCAATGCAGTAAGAATCATAAAATGTACAAATCACACCTTTGTTCCTTCATATTTTTAATATTCAGTCTCAAGCTGTGTGAGTTATTGTAAATTGTTGTTACTCATGAAAAATACATAAATGTGCCAATTTCTTTAAATTGAAATTGCATAATTTTGGGAAAAATATCTATAATCCACTATCAATTTATAGTGTACAGTTATAAAACGTTAAATAGTTAAGGGCTTTTTGTTTTCACTAGATATTGTAAATTACACTTGTTTTCTTTTCATTACAACTGAATCAATCCACAACTTAAATAAAAAAAATATATATATATAAAAAAAACAGTACAGTATGCTGCTCAAGTTTGTTTTAATTGAAGAATGTTTAAAATAATTCAAAACCTTTAAATAACTAATTACGTAACACTAGATCAATATGTAACAAGCTTGGGTAAGGATGTTATTTTTGCAACACCACTTTAGGACTTTCATCCAAGGACATAATTTATACACAGAAAAGACACTTGGGTTTGTCTACAAGCAAGCAGGAGACTGTTTCAAGATACAATATAAATTTTATTAACACTAAGTTAAAAACCTATTCTAATGGAGGCAATAATGATTCTTAAATATTCAGCCAAGGCCAAGGCTTTCCAGTGTTCAGTCAACTAAAAGACAAAAGGATGGTTCAAGGTAACGAGGAGAAATTCACCCACAAGCTGTGATGCACGAGACACGAGTGGAACGGAACCTACACGAGACTGGACTGCCGCCTTCAACCTGGAACATAAATATGAAATTAAGTAAACAAAAATATGAGTAATATTTAAGAATTACAAAACAAACAAACATGGGCCTCA